TCCTTAGCCAATGGCTCACACTTTACGTCTCATGTATTTTTGTAAGTAATATTGAACAAAAGGACTATGTGTGAAAAATTCCAAAAAGCTACGGGGTCATTAGAAAATCCTGAAACGTATATCATCAATTCGGGGTGTCCTATGATACAATGTTGCATAGTTTTAGACTAAGTTATTATCAACATGTAATATATCGGTCCAAGAGCAAATTATCAGGCAGCAAGAAAATATGAAAAACTATATTCAACCTTATGAAGTTTATGCAGATCGATGGTCCATCAATTGTACTATCTAGTTGTGAAAATCCGATCTGGATAGCTTTTACTCAACAAAGGCTATTTGGAAAATGATGGCGAACATCATAAAAAGTGAGGTAATAGTTCAAGATCACTCTTTGACGTTGATGAAAGCTGTGGTTTTTCAAAGAACGTCATAAACCTATCTTATTGGTATGTGATGGACACAGCTGATGTACAAGAGAATAATAAATGAGTGATCCTAATATGATAGAGACTTTTATTACGGGAAATAGATTACGAGCAAATGCGTTGTAATCCGTCTTATTCTTTTTATAAAATATGACAAGGGAAATCTTCGATCATGAGTGTCGGACATTCTGAAAAGAAGACTTTATGATGCATTCTATAAGAGGTTATATTTACCAACGTTATCATTTTAGGCAATAATGTAAGCTTCATCGGCTTTCAAAAATCGATCAATATAAAAAAAATGTTCTTGCTTGTACTCAGTTCATTAGAACAGCAAGTATTCTACAACTTTGTCAATTAGTTTCTTGTACATTGACTATTTGTATAATGTTTTAAATGTATTAATGAAACTATCTTGCATAAATCTCTTGAAATAGTTGCAATCAGTTCTAATGAAAATTGATTCAAAAAAAAAGTATACAGATGCTTAGCATCATAATTCTTGCCAAAAACGCGATATCTTGTGTTACGTTGTTATTAGATAAGGCAGATTTTTCATCTTCTATAACTGTTGTGATTTCTAATGTTCCTAGAGAATATAATATTCTTCATTGAAATTCAGCATTGTTCCCTTGTTCCTTACTTCATTTGATAAGAACGAAGTTTATTACCAACGTCTTGATCTGATGCGTGTGACTCCTCACAGAGTTTCTATTTTAGTACACAGCCTTGTTTTCTGAATTATTATAGAATGGAAAATATTATTTACTGACATCAGCTTCAGATAAAAACTACATTATATTCGTTACACACTTTTATTGATTGTTCTTCGAAATACTATAGTCATTTGAGTATTCTAGGATGGGTAGCGGGTCGAGTATTGTATCAAAAGGCAACCAGACAGCTCTAAGTCCGAGAGTCCAAGCGCGGCAGTCTAGTTTGTCATTATCTTCATCTAGCCCGAAGCCACTACAACAACAGCCACGCCGATAGTTAAAACAACCGCAGAGAACGACGACGCAATCAAATTTACCATGGCCATTGCCACCGAAGACAGATGAGCGAATTCGATTTAATACCTTTTGATCAGAATCATTACCGGTTACCATCAAGATCTTCATCAGTAAGCTTGCTTGGTGCTTCATTTGAAAGTCAATTAAATTATCGATCATACAAATCAAATAAAAAATCGAGCATGATATTGCCTTGTTCGTTTAATCGTCTCCGCATTAGGAAACCAACTGAACTAATGCATCTGCATCCTTTGTTCTTACTGAACCACTCAGAAAGTTTTTCGGGTTTCTTGTTTTACCGATCAGATTTCTTCTCGTTCTCTCTCATCTTATCTAATCTGTGACATGATACTTTTCACACAACGCTACCAAAGAATATGACCAGTTGAACAGGTCAATGAGAACATCTTCTCATTTATAAGTACTCAACAGATCATGGTGTATATAGGAGAGTGCAAACGTTAGAACACATGCGCAAAGGTGACTGGTAAATGAACCTTTAGAAGTCATTATATCTCTAGGACAAAAGCTTTGTTCTACTAGATACCTTAATATTCATTTTGAGGTCCTCGAAGAAGTTCAGAGGACGAATTAGTTTTTGAATAAAACTAAGTGATATGTAGTACTAACCATTAAACATTTTGTTGCATTTCAGAATATCATAGCCTGTAGAAACTGGGAGGGTCGTAGAAACTTTATTTTAGTGAAACAAATAGAAGTAAAATTCTCATATAATTGATATCAATTTTTTTCTTCATGCCTAGCCAACATCAAAAGCTGACTTTGAAACAATAGAGGCATCAAACCCTGCTCCACATCAACAACAAGAAAGGAGTGACAAGGAATGGACAATAGTCGATGTCGATTCCCAGTCACATAGCAGTGCAGATGTTCAATCGCAACTGACTGCTCGTTCACATGCTTGCTTCAACTTAGCTACTTCCGCTAACGTCGATGTATTGATGCGAAATCTCAAACTGATCTACAAATTCCTCGACGATCGTGACAAACATAGATTAGAAGAGGTATCAAAAGATGCAGATCAAATTCTAGGACAGATAATTGATGATGCAAACAAAGAGCAAGAACGTCTGTTGAAATTCGACAAAGATCAACAGGAAATACATGAAAAAAGATACCAGGAGTGGTTACAGATGTATATTGTTGAATTGAACAAACGGCGATCTCAAGATTGGCTGAGTTACAAAAAGAATTGTTACGCTATCAGAAGCAGATAGCTGACAATTCACGACACTATATTGATTTGCTTAGTGAACATACGAACAATCGTAAACTGAAGATTCTTCAAGATGAACAGGAAATTGCACAAATCAAATCCAAAGATCTCATTGATAAAATTCATAATATTGTAAGCGAAGACAACCTTCAACAGCTTGATAGCGAATCCAAGACAGAATTGAATTTAAGGATACAAGCAAATGTCGGTCGAATACCGCCCGAGCAAGGTTGCCAGAACGATCCTGTCTGAAATAACACTAATAGGAACCAACCATCACTATGATTTGCTTTTGAAAATGTACTACTTATGATATAACAAAAGGAACAAGATTTTTAGAAGAAAATATAGACAAAAGTTATTCCAGATTTTATTTCATTAAATATTCGGTATATATGCACTTCTCTGAAAAACACTTCGTCGAAAGTATTTTTGGCCACGGAGGATGCTTCAAATGTGAGGATGGAGGCAAAATGAGTTGATCTCTTCATGCTTAACAAGCCTGTATAAGAATTAAAGGGCTCACAACGGTCTAAACTGTCCTGCGAGTCTTTCTATGAAATGATTTTCGGCAAAGAGCATTACATTCTTCAATTTGAGGTAATTTAAAACATCTTCATGCACATGTGATTTGGCGCTGTCGTGATGCAGCTTTATGGCATATGCACTAGATGTTGGCCTTTTCTTCGGGATTTTCTCAATAAGAGGTTCCAAGCCGTTATCAATGTAATAGATATGATTGATGGCCTCAAGTTAGTCAATTCCATGAATTAATACAGCACCAGTCATTTTGAAAAGGATGCACAACAGAATTTTTACAGTAAAGCGACTTTGTCTGACCAGGGTAGGCAGAGTTCCTTCAATAAGTGTCTTGACAACATCAATCAACCACTTGGTGTTAAAAAAAGAAAAGAAAAACATGTCAGAAGAAAGCCGAAACACATAGGAAAACAATCACAATCTGAATCGTTGCTTCTTACTGTCTGTATTTTTAATGGCACGAAAGAATAGCATATAATCTGATTGCTAAACATCGAGACAAGTTTTTCCCTGGGTTAATATATGTTCTGCACTGCTGCTAAACGGACATTCTATTCGAATGCTTACTGATTGTATTGAATGCATTAATCTAGATTATTTAAATAAATAAGAAAATTTATCATGCTTTGGTTTGTGTCAGAGTTATATCCAGTTGAGAGTTTTGAAATCTGTTCAATCTGGACGATTCAAACAATGTATAGATCAGTGGAAAATGGCAAAAACTCAGTGATTTATTGGATCGTATGAATCGGTTAATGGAAATAACTTCAAAAAAAAACATTCATATTTCTTTTTATACTCAAGCATTCACAAATCTTCAGACAAAATATCATGTTATAATTGTCTATATCTGATAGGCTTCTCAAAGATGAATATATGATACTTCTATATATGTTGCGAAAAAAAGAAGTCATTTACTCTTCAACTGATTACTAAACTCCAAATCTTGAATTTTCTCATTCATCTTTTTTTCAGACAAATGTAGCATTTCTCTTTAAACGACGATCCAAACATATATGCTATAAGTTTAGCTCAAGTACCATAGTCTTGATTGAGTTTTTAAAAAAATGAAAAATAATTAGATTAAAGGAATACAACAGTGAGTGTGAGAATGGAAGTGTGGGTCTGTGTATCGATGGAAGGGAGACATACACCTATGCTCATTCTCAAATCAGAATGCTGCAAACATCAATTGTTATCTGTAGATTATAATACGAGCACTGTAATCTTGGACTCTAAAATATTGATTTTTGTTCTAGAGGTCTCGTTGAAGTCGATACTTTCGCAATGACAGTTTCAATGATATAATATAGTTTTTCTTACTGTAACCTTGAGTCTTAGTCATAGACATGTTGTGGACAACTGTGTATTCAATTAGCTTCCGATCTTGAGATCTCGTTTCAGCTTCAGATAGTTCGAGCAGCTTGAAGCAAGGAGAGAAGCTAGTGAATGATGCCACTAGAATTGTTCTATTGAGAAAATCTTAACTCATCAGATATATCTGAAGAAATTGTTGTCAACTATGTCATCTGAAATTTATGAACTAATTTTATTGAACACTTCTTCGAAGAAGTGACCGAGAGCTGAAACCTAGGAACCATTTCATATTGAAGGATGAGTGACTTTTCTCAAACGAAGTTTCACCATTTCCAATGAGTGCTTTCATACTTCTTAACTATGAAGACAAGCTTTGAAGCAATATATAATACGAAACTCTTTTTATATAGAATTTTACAGTGTAAATTTAACTCTAGAGCAAGCAACACTGTAACTTCATGTGAGTTAGCCGAGTGCAGCGCGAAACTCTCCCATAGAAAAATTTGGATCAGGCTTGCGACCTGCAGGCACTGCTGCTTCCTTGTGTCCCAATACTCGTGCAGTAGGTATGCCGTAGGCTGCCTGAAGAGCTTTCACACCACGCACATAGCTCTGCCATTGCACTTCAGGCCAATATTGGTGTCCTACATTATCGGTTGGAGTACCCGAGGCTTCAGCTTCAATACCAATGGCGTTCGAGTTTCCAAAAATTGAGTTATCGATCGTAGCACCAGCGTGATAAGAACGACCAGCTGCAATGACATACCATGTTCCTGAACGACCTAAACCCAATTGTGAAAGAGGTCCGGGAAGATCAGAACGACCGTCTCGAACGACAGCTCGTGAAGGAAATTCGCCTGTCGCTGGACCAGCGGTGTGGTGAACTAGAATGCCTTTTACTGAGGCCATTACACCATGACCACGAGTCTTCCAACCAGGTTCTTCAACCACATTGAGACCTGCTGTGCGAAGTATGTCAGCCAAGTCCGTAAGCATCGTATTCACTGGTTTACTGGAACCAGTGCCAGATGGATTGGAGCCTTTCACACAACATTGCATACTGCTGTCACCAGGACAAATACCTGAGTAGGAGGTTCCACCACTTGCTGCACAGGCAGCAGCATTCATGCAGTTATTACTAAACTAAACATGATTAGTTTCTGAATATCATTGACATAGAGTGTCTTACCAAGTGCAACACTGGATGTTTTTGCCACCAGAACAGAGACCCGCTTTAGATGATCCACCTTTGGCAGCGCACACACTAGTATCGATGCAAGCATTGTCGGACCAGCATTGTGCACTGGCAGCTCGTGCGTGAAAGACGACGAGGCATAATATACTAATCAGAAGCCCGATGCAGAACATTTTTTAAGTATTGTTACTTGTGAAAAACAAGTGAATGACTTGCAGTCAGTCGGCAATGCAATAAATAGTTTTTCACTACGAAAATAGAGGATTAAATCGGAGCTTTTTAAAAAGCAATTGGAAAATGAGCTACAGCGGATTGTATAGTGCTTCCTATCAGGTTTCTTTTTATTTATAGTGTATCAAATTACAGAAAACAAAGGAAGAAGATTAATTAAATGAGTCTTAAGGATGGGCCATCTTTGATTACTGAGCGAATAGAAACAACCAATGGAATTAATAAGAGTATGCACACATCCCTCCTGCTCTCTCATTCTTTATTCTGCATTCAAGGATAACTTTAGGATGCATCTAACAACTATTCATTAGGCATAGTGTAACATGTGTGTTTGATGTCGGAAATCAGTGCTATCATTGTTGCACACAAGTATTCTATCAGAAAAGATGAATTGTTTTGGAGTGAGAAGTGTTAACTATCACAAAACATCATTCTTCTCTTTCTTTTCATATCATTGTATACCTTTTGTGTATTAGCGAATGTTATTTTATTTTCTTCTCACTCTTTATTCCCACCATATGCTTTTTTTTCGGCATCATATCTAAATGTTAATAGAGAAGAGTGAAAAATAAATCAGAACAAGACCATGAATGGAAGTTTTTAGATTTGTTTCGATTTGTGTCCTACTTTATTCTGATCCGACTAACTAGAAAACAAATGGAGAGAAAATAAAGAAGAAAAAGTAATCAAAAAATGAGAAAGAAGAAGATAAAAAAAAGAAATAAATATCTGTGCAGCACACCAGATGTCACTGCAAACATCTATTCCTGTGCACTCATAGATATGTGTCGATATATGCCAATCATTGTTGATTTCCGATAGTCATGATTGTTGTCGTTGATTGAAACTACTGATCTATCACCCTTATTTCCATAATTGCTCATAGTTTTTCTGTGGGAAAAAATTGGCTCGGATAATGGTTTGTGGAATGTGAATCTAGATAAAAACGAGCGAAGAAAATATCCAAATTCACATTCAACATTGAAAAAATGAAAACTTTGACTAGAGGTTACCGAAGCTTGAACGATTATTTAGTGATTTTCTTATGAAGATCACAGGAGAGTCTGACTGAAGAATAGTTGAATTTATTCATCTCTATTCAGTAGAAGGGTATCTTATGAATCCTAAAATCAGTGTTTTTGCTTGGCAATATACTGTTGTACGTGCTTGAAATACTATTGAAGTGCAAAAGAATATAAGCATAATGAGAATGAGTTTTTGCTGAAACTGAGACATACAGCGAGTGAAAGAATGAGAGTCATCGATCATTATACTGGGCGTCCTTTTCGAGTACGTGCGACATAATCAAAGTGAGTACATATATATTTATTGAGAAAGAGTGAAACCATAAAAGTGGAATACATCGCTTTGTTGTGGACTATCATCATATTCCAATGGACAAAGTGAGAAAGTTCAAACGATCAAATATAGCACAGACTCTTGGTAAACAAGATCGAATGCTAATTAAGATAGATAAAAAAAATGAAATGATGGCAACCTTTGTAAAAAAAAACGATATAATAAGAAACAAAGAAAATGTATTCAATATTAGCAACACATTGAATGTTTCCTAAAAAATGATGCGGTGTTACTTGTCGTCGATTGATTTTCCATAAAATTCGAATGTCATAGGTCATAATTAAAAGCAACAAGAGAACGAGTCCACTATAGACATTAAACATTGTGACAGCAATGTCGAAAAATTCTGTTTGCAATGCTGTCGTGTCGGAGCAATATGTCGCAGCACATTGAGAATAATATTTATCATAGGACATCTAAATGTTGAAAAAAAATCAACCAGACTAGTAAATACAGTACATTCTTGTGTAATAATATCAACACCGAATATTCTTCGATAAACAACTTACCAAAGAATTCCATGACTGTAATATTTGGTTAAAATAGGGATAGAATTGCTTGATTAAGAGCGAGTAATGATCTTCGAGTATTCAAAAAGAAAAGGTATTGATCTAACATACAATCAATGCAAAACTGTGAATATAAACATCCCAGAGTAGAACCGCCAATAATTCTTTGATTTGATAACCTCAAAGATAAAACAGAAAACGTTTTCATGAGAAAAATCTAAAACTAAACTCACATGAAATCAACAATTCCTGATATAGTGGCATGATGTACTCTGATGAAATTTGATACTGCCAACTCGGCAAGTAAACACTCACATATTGATTTTCATTCATGATAACACGTGTCACTTCAAGCGTTCGAATAGCATCGATTGAATTATTTTGCCAAAGCTCACCAACAGCGTTATTCAATTTAGATTCAAATTCATTACGAGTCATCACATCGAATGAAATCAATTGTTAATCATATAATTGATTCTAATATTCTTGAATGGTGGTGCTGAGTGTGAACCTGGGTGTGGCTATACTTCTCACTCACATCAATACCTTACAAGCCGACTCTAGTCCGGGCACTAGAATCGATGAATTATCATCGACGATTAAATGATCAATGAATTCGGTAATTCGCATTGATTCGTTTACAGTTTGTTGGTTCACATAGATTGCATCTGGCAAACTACAATTTTGCTGTGTCGCTGACGTAAACTCAGGTACGAGTGACGATGGGAGATAATAGACGGAAATACGTACATTGAGTATTTTGTATGCAAAGATATCCTTGAATGGCAGTGTAATGATGGAATGAGTACCTAATCCAGGAGTGAGTTGATTTCCATTGTTCACATGTCGAATTACAGCTAATTGTAAAGTGAAAAGACTAGTTGTTGTCATAAGAAGCTGTCCGATGCGCGTATTGACTTCAGTAGTCAAGAAAGACAAGGAAACTCTTTCTGTGTTGATAAGCGAAGTCGACGCTAACGTCAGCAACACATCTGCTACGGTTGATTGACTAAAAGTGCACATCGAGCGCAAAAATTGTGCATTTACACTGATAATCGTTCGAGCATCCATTCACCAAATAAAAGATACATTGACTCCATAAGAACGATTGATTCATAATTGAGTTATAAAATAACTTGAATAGACTTGATGAAATGTTGTTGTGATGTTGACAGAGTCTTCTAATGATGTAACGATACGAGAGCAAGGACAGTATGCTCTATCACACTATTGCATGAGAAGATCATTATAGATTTGTACTATTGGATGTTGGATATTATTGTTACTAAATGTTTTAATGTGCCCGAGATACAAATACATAGTATAAGGGCGACAAGCATAGTCACGAGAAAGAGTCGTGTGAATCAGAGTTACATACGAAGTTTTCATGGATTCGGTGGTGCTGTCGTGTCTGGTCGATTCCTTTCTCCATACAAATTCAAATATATTGATTTATGCCGGAACTCTTCTACGATGCCTGACAAAAATATATCATCTGTCATATCGATATTTTCTCAGAGGTTTGGCATTGGGTAATGAAACGTCATAGTCGGAAATGGTTGATTGGTTGTCAGCTTTTTTTCTTTCAACATTTTCTCTTCAATGAATTTGACTAATGAGCTGCCAATGTGCAGGTAACATCGATGCGTAGATAAATATTAGTGACTTCTTAATAGGATCGCTACTAGCTTGCTATAAAATGATTGTTATGGCTCCTGATTTTCTTTGTTGCCTTTCAGCAAACAAAGAAAATGAGCGAGAAAAGGTGTAGTGCTTTGAAGAATATAAGATGATTCGACAAAAATATTTTTCTTTTTTCGTCACCCTAGAACGAATAAGAGTGAAATAAAGAAAGTTGAGTATTACTTCTGACTATCAAGTAACATGAAGCATATAATTGAATCTTTCTCTCAGCTTTCAATCTGATACATATTATTAACATAAGTCTTCGTCAATGGCTCATTCTCTAAAAAAGAGACATCATTTTTGCATTAAGAAAATTGATAAGTATAATGAACAAAGACGTGTAGAAGAATTCTGTAATAATATGTTTACTTATAATAAACAAAAAGTTATTTATTTAGTTTTGCTCAATTGTTCTGAATAAATAGCTATTTGATTTCAAGCACTATTGAATAAATATTCATGGCTATTGAAATATCTCCAAGTTACTTATTTATTGTGATTGTTGTTTGCTGTTAGCTAAAAGCGACAGATTAAATATAGGTGGATGAGTAACACACAAGAAAATCATGAAATTATTTTTGTACTTGCATTGAGAATTATTGAAATCAAATATTGATTGTTGACGTACAGTCGAAAGAAAATAAGTTTAGAGATGTTTCTAAATAATGACTTAGTGACAATTGAATAGTTTTTTCAATAGTAAAGATTCATATCGAATTGATTGGCGCCTTTCTTATGGAAAATATAGATTTCTGTTAGTCAGCGTACAAAAAAAGCAGGTGAATATTAGCACCAGATTCGAGTAAAACATGCCCATATTCGTCTAAGAGTCTATCCTAGAGTTGAGTGTGCGTGTGAGGGAGATTAAGACTCAGACTCATACACAGATCCACTCGTTTCGAACAATCAAAACAGCAAACTTATTCTCGATTATCGGTATAGACTGAAGAGAACAAGTGTATCTACGCCTACACTACACACCAAAGTTCACATTCTTCGTTGTTGTTTGTGTTACTTGCTTATGACTAGATACTTCTCCTTTACTGAAATTCAAATTTTATGTACTGTCGTTAAGTTTTGCTTTAATTAATATATTAGACACTACAATATCAACTTAGACAAATCCGACATTGACGCATTTACCTTTGAATACAACATTTGTCTAGGTCTATTGGAAATTACCCTAAAATTCTCAAGCAAATTTTAGATTGGATGTATTGTAACTGATCGATGTAAGAATGGTCAAAACTAATCCTCGTCCAATGTCAAATCTCAGATTGGACACTATTATGCCTATTATTAATTTCAAATAAACAAAGAGAATTAATATTCTCAATATGTTTTTATTTTTTGATTTAATAGTGTATATAAATGCAACAAGTTTTGAG